CCCCATTCACTATTTGGTCTCCCGACCCGCATTCACTATATTGCTCTCCCCGGACCCCGCATTCCACTATTATCCCCTGGTCTCCACAGTACCCTGCATTTCACTTTATCCTCTCTCCCGCGGGGACCCTGCATTCACAATATCTGCTCTCCCCGGATATATGCATTCACTATAGTCCACTCTCCCCAGACCCCGCATTTACTTTATCTTGCTCTTCCCAGGGACACCCTGCATTAAATATAATACCGCTGTCCCCGGACCCCGCATTCACTAATATCGCTCTTCCTTGGACCACTGCACTTCACTATATCTCACTCTTCTCCCGGGACCCAGTCATTCCAACTATATACGATCTCCCCGGACCCCGCTTTCACTTATTTCTGGTCTCCCCGGACACCTGCATTCAACTATATCCACTCTGCGGAACCCCGCATTCACTTACTTCCGCTCTCCGCGGACCCTGGAATTCACTATATCTGACTCTCACTGGTCCATGCATTCACTATCTCCGCTATCCCTGGGACCCTGCATTCACTTTATCCGCTGTCCCCGGACCCTTGCATTCACTATATCCGCTCTCCGCCTGGACCCTGCAATTCACTATATCCGCTCTCTCCCCTGGACCCCGCATTCACTATATCCGCTCTCCCCGGACCCCGCATTCACTATATCTGGTCTCCCCAGGACCCCCGCATTCACTATATCTGCTCTCCCTCGGACTCTCCCCGGACCCCACATCCAAGGGGCTTGTCTACTTCTGGCCAGGAGAATGCCCCATAACAGTCTATAGGGCTGTATTGTACAGGCATGGCCAGGGCAAAGGAATAAGTGCTGCCTGTATGAAAGTGCATTTATTCTTTAAAGGAGAAGTAAGGCCAAGGCTCGTTTGGCTGCATTTCTCCCTGTAGGTCACAGAGGTGCATTTAGTTCTGCACACCCATATTTAGCCAACAGCTGGCTAAAGACCACTATCTGCTGACATCACTCAGCCAGTCCAGACTCTGGAGGAATCACAACTTTAATGTTGGGATCTACCCAATTTCTTGACCGCCAGCTGCTTCACCTCTCAGCATACCACTGAAAGCCCAAGCCAACCGCTTGCACCCCTCCACAGCCAGGTGCTCAAGTGACAGCCACTACTCTCTGCTCACTAAAGACTGAGAAGTGAAGAATCAGTGGTCTTTGATCGCTCAATTCTTTGTCTTAGAGGTGAAAGGGGACAGATGCAGCATCGGGCCGGGCTCCATTCACCTAGGTGAGTTTGTATGTATGGTTTTTTTACATCACTTAGCCAGTCCAGACTCTGGAGAAGATATCAGTTACCATTTACCACACAATGAAAGTCCAGTTTCATATTTTTGTTTTTCGTGTTAGCTTTCCCTCTCAGAACTAGTCTACATATTATTTATTGGACTTTATTGAGAATGTTTTTACTATTGATCTTCAGGTATTTTTTATATATATTTACCTGTCATATCACGACAGTTCTTGAAAAATTCCTTCACTTCTTTTATTTGCTCTTCTGGCATCGACACCTTCATGCTAGGAGAAAATTAAAACATTAGTTAACCCCTCGCCTACCCGGCACTTATACCCCCTTCCTTACCAGGCCAATTTTCAGCTTTCAGCGCTGCCGCACTTTGATTGACAATTGCGCGGTCATGCAACATTGTACCCATATGAAATTTTGATAATTTTTTTCTCTCAAATAGAGCTTTCTTTTGGTGGTATTTAATCGCCACTGGGCGCTTTACTTTTTGCGCTATAAATAAAAAAATTGCAAAAATTTGAAAAAAAAAAAAAATTTTCTTTGTTTCTATTATAAAATTTTTCAAACAGGTATTTTTTCTCCTTCACTGATGTGCGTTGATGAGGCAGCACTGATGGGCACTGATAGGCGGCACTGATGGTGGGCTAAAGGGCACTGATAGGCAGTACTAATGAGGTGGCACGGATAGGCGGCACTGATAGACAGCACTAATGAGGTGTCACGGATAGGCGGCACTAATATGCAGCACTGATAGGCGGCACTGATAGGTGACACTGATGATGGGTACTGATAGACGGCACTGACTGGCATCACTGCTGGGCACTGACTGGCGGCACTGACTGACACAACCCCTGGGCACTGACTGGTGGCACTGACTGGCAGCACTGCTGGGCTGCACTGGTGGGTGGCACTGGTGGGCAGCACTGGTGGGTGGGCACAGGTGGGTGGGCACAGGTGGGTGGCACTGGTGGGCACAGGTGGGTGGGCACAGGTGGGTGGCACTTCTGGGCACAGGTAGGTGGCACTTCTGGGCACAGGTGTGTGACACTGCAGAGTGGCACAGGTGGGTGCACTGCTGGGCACAGGTGGGTGCACTGCTGGGCACAGGTGGGTGATCTGCTGGGCACAGGTGGGCGGAACTTGTGGGTGGCACTGCTGGGCACCGATCATCAGGGCACTGATCATCAGTGTCCTGATGATCGGTGCCGATCCCCGCTCTGACAACTGCCGGTTCTCGGCAGTACTTTCCTCACGATCTGACAGCGTGAGGAAAGTGCAGCCGAGAACCGGCACTTGCATTTCCTTGTGATCAGCTTGTCATTGGACACCGCTGATCACGTGGTAAAAGGCCGATATGATTGGCCTTTTACCACATCTCGTGATCAGCTGTGTCCGTAGGACACAGCGATCACGGAGATTGCCGGGTGCGCGCCCCTGGGGCGCACAGGAGAGCGCGTTCTGGGGGGAAGTCATATGACGTCCACCCAGAACTGGCGGCCGCAGTGAAGCCGTCATTCGGCTATCTGCGGTCGGCTACTAGTTAATGTGTATGTCCAGGCATGACCTAAACTTAAAGCCCCCTCCAAAAAAAAAAACCCTAAAGTTCCATCTAGGTTTTACCTTATTCCCGTAGGGAGAAGTAGCTTTTATTATTCCTGATAATGTCAGCTCTAAGCTTGTACAATTCTTACAGGATCGGATTCTGGGAGGTCAGTAAAGTGGTCTCCAAAATTACATTTTCCAAGATCCTGGACAGTCTCTTTGGGCCCTAGGACAGCAGCATTGTTTTGCGTGAAAAATAATTCCATGTATGCATGTAGAAAGAGCAAGGGAGAGTGATAGATGGAGATCTATAGTTCAGCAGGCACGCTGACAACCCTGCTAGGGATTTTAGTGCAGCAGAGGCAGCATTGTCAGCTCTTTATAGGAATTAGATGCTTTAGAGGAAAAGGTTCAGGATAGTTTAAAGTATATGTTATCATAAATTCTATGTGTGTGTTTCACATATGTGCACTTTATAAATTATAGTCTCTATTATTTTCATGTACTTTTTCCATATGAAGTTCCTGGTTGATCCTGACAGTCATCTTTCTTCCTTGTTCTAAACTGACCACACAAAGTATAGAAGTTGATTTGAGCTAACGTGGTCAGATTTTATCATTTGGCTGGCCATTCAGAGGTACAGAGTGAAAAATATACCTTATGGCGCTTCTCCAAGCTATGTATGGAAGGAAAAGGACCTCTGTGATTAAGCCCAGTGGGCAGGGCGAAGTGTGTCAGAGGGCATTGCCGGTACGGTGGCTGAGGCCATTCCTCAATATTGGACTTCCGGGGTCGGTTGAGCAGCGTGCATCCTTTCACATTCATAGTTACAGGACAACGTGTAGACACACATCATGACTGGATTGGGTAGTTTAATTCATCCACCACATCCTCTGATTAATTACAGCCTGTCCCGGGCACACACACTCTTCCAATCACAGTTTCCTACTTGAACGTAATTACCCCCTTCTTCATAAACTGCCCTTTCAAGTGGGTTTTGTTTTTAACTCTCTTTTATTCTTTGGTTTTTGTGAGTATGGTAATGGAGAATATCGTTGTGCCCTTATGTTTTTATTTAGGTAATTTTATGTATCTGCAGAGTTTATAAAGAAATACAACATGGAGAAATTTTTAATGTTTTACATGGATGTACTGTATATGTCTTCCCCTCCTCCTCCCCCCCCACCATACTGGATGAAGGACTGGAATGCTTGTTGGTTGGATTTGTTCAGAGCACGGGGCTTGCTTTGGTCTCAGGTCTAGAAGGGTACACTTTCATAACCTCCGATGAAGAGGAACTATTCTAATTCCTGAAATGTGTTGGCTATCTATTTTTGTGATGAATATAGATATATCTAGACTGTTTGCCCCGTGTTCTCTTTGTGCCATTGTATACAGTATATCACTTCTACCCTGAGGATGCTATCTATGTCCATCAGATTCTAGTCTTTCACCAACCAAACACAATAGACTCCAATCAGAATGCTTACACAGACATGGTCCAGTGCTCTTTCAGCACATCTATAGAGATTTCCATTATGCCGTAAAGATCTCTGAAATCTGCAATCAACAGCAAGTTTTCTTGAGTGGCGTCATACAATCCCCATATTCCTCTGCAGAACCATCATTATGGTGCTTATCATCTTCAGGGTTGTGTTAGTGAGTGAATTCAGTAGGGTTGCTTCACTAAAGGCAACTAGGCTTTTCACTTTTCACGGGAATTTTTCGTCAGCCTAGTGAATTAGGCGAAGCTCTGCTGACTTCCATCATCCAATCATGTGCAAACAAAAACACTGTTTTTTCTGATTTTCCTCCTGCACAAAGATGGGTTTTCTTTGCACAGTGAATTTTTACCATAATCACTAAGCTAAGAGGAAATGTCCTTGTAAATTAAGCAGCCTATTTCCCTTCAGTAAATCAACCCCAGTGTGCTTTCAGGTGCATGTGTTATAATTTTGAAAAGAGATTCCTTCACAGTTCTTTGACTTGTATGTGACCGATTGTTATCTACATTTGACCTCCTTCTGGTCCACATCTGACCTATGTCTGACCTTTAGTCAATTCCCTTCTTACATGCAATTGAACCCTTCTGACTTGCAGTTGACCTCTCTCTGACCTACAGCTGATCTGCTTCTGACCTGCAGTTGGACTCTTATGATCTTTAGTTGATCTCTTTTTATTCTGCAGTTGAACTCTTCTGAACTGAATTGAATTCTCTCTGACCTGCATTTTACCTTCTTCTTGCCTGACATAGAACACTTCTGATCAGCAGTTCATTTTTCTCCGTCCTGAATTTGACCTCTTTTTGAGCTGCAGACAACTATTCTCTGACCTACAGTTGAGCTCTGTCTGACCTGCAGTTGACCTCCGTTTGGCCTGAAATTAAACCCTTCCTGCCCGGCAGTTCACTCCTCCCTGACTTGCTGTCAGGGCCTGGATCTGAACCTGTGACCTCTGCTATGTCAGGTAATGTCTCTTCTTGCTCAGCCACCAGAAATGCTAGACAGACAACTGGACAATCATTCAGATAATCTTGGCTTGTACCTTGTTTCTCGTGAGTTTTTAACTCTTTGTTCCTCTCATGAACTACAGTGGGGATCGAAAGTTTGGGCACCCCAGCTAAAAATTGTATTAATGTGCATAAAGAAGCCAAGGAAAGATGGAAAAATCTCCAAAAGGCATCAAATTACAGATTAGACATTCTTATAATATGTCAACAAAAGTTAGATTTTATTTCACATTTACACTTTCAAAATAACAGAAAACAAAAAAATGGCGTCTGCAAAAGTTTGGGCACCCTGCAGAATTTATAGCATGCACTGCCCCCTTTGCCAAGCTGAGACCTGCCAGTGTCATGGATTGTTCTCAGTCATCGTCTGGGAAGACCAGGTGATGTCAATCTCAAAGGTTTTAAATGCCCAGACTCATCTGACCTTGCCCCAACAATCAGCACCATGGGTTCTTCTAAACAGTTGTCTAGAAAACTGAAACTGAAAATAGTTGATGCTCACAAAGCTGAAGAAGGCTATAAGAAGATAGCAAAGCGTTTTCAGATGTCAATATCCTCTGTTCGGAATGTAATTAAGAAATGGCAGTCATCAGGAACAGTGGAAGTTAAAGCAAGATCTGGAAGACCAAGAAAAATATCAGACAGAACAGCTCGCAGAATTGTGAGAAAAACAATTCCAAACCCACGTTTGACGGCACGATCCCTCCAGAAAGATCTGGCAGACACTGGAGTTGTGGTACACTATTCCACTATAAAGAGATACTTGTACAAATATGGTCTTCATGGAAGAGTCATCAGAAGAAAACCTCTTCTACGTCCTCACCACAAAAATCATCGTTTGAACTTTGCAAATGAACATATAGACAAGCCTGATGCATTTTGGAAACAAGTTCTGTGGACCGATGAGGTTAAAATTGAACTTTTTGGCCGGAATGAGCAAAGGTACGTTTGGAGAAGAAGGGGCACAGAATTTAATGAAAAGAACCTCTGTCCAACTGTTAAGCATGGGGTTGGATCAATCATGCTTTGGGGTTGTGTTGCAGCCAGTGGCACAGGGAACATCTCACGAGTAGAAGGAAAAAAGGATTCAATACAATTTCAGCAAATTTTGGATGGTAACTTGATGCCATCTGTGAAAAAGCTGAAGTTAAAGAGAGGATGGCTTCTACAAATGGATAATGATCCTAAACACACCTCGAAATCCACGGGGGATTACATCAAGAGGCATAAACTGAAGGTTTTGCCATGGCCTTCACAATCTCCTGACCTCAACATAATTGAAAATCTATGGATGGACCTTAAAAGAGCCGTGCGTGACAGACAGCCCAGAAATCTCAAAGAACTGGAAGACGTTTGTAAGGAAGAATGGGCAAAGATACCTCAAACAAGAATTGGAAAGACTCTTGGCTGGCTACAAAAAGCGTTTACAAGCTGTGATACTTGCCAAAGGGGGCAGTGCATGCTATAAATTCTGCAGGGTGCCCAAACTTTTGCAGACGCCATTTTTTTGCTTTCTGTTATTTTGAAAGTGTAAATGATGGAAATAAAATCTAACTTTTGTTGACATATTATAAGAATATCTAATCTGTAATTTGATGCCTTTTGGAGATTTTTCCATCTTTCCTTGGCTTCTTTATGCACATTAATACAAATTTTTAGCTGGGGTGCCCAAACTTTCCATCCCCACTGTATTTTAGCCATGTCTCTGTACTTCCTGTTTGCCAGATTATTGTGCTCTCCTCAGCTCCCATCACTCCCACTTCTGTCTGTATCTCTGCTATCACTCGTTGCCGACCTTTGGCTAGTTCTTCGACTATGCTTCTGCTTGTTCCCAACCTTCGACCACTTGTTACTGACTTTTGTTACTGACTTGTTCACTGAATACACTTCTGCTTGATGCCTAAATGCTATAACTGCTACTGGACTCCGGCTTGCTCATCTCCTGAGGACCACAACCTGGTACTAACACACAGCAAAACCAATATCCACCATCAGGACCTCTGGTGAACAACAATTAGTACTTAGACCCTGCACCTCATGTGAGCCCGTGTCATCCGGCAGGGTGACCTGCTTGTTCATTCATTG